GTAATGTATAATTCAATTCTTTCTATTGTAAATATTTCCTATTGTTATTATGTAAATATCCTTTCAAATGTATCTTCTCAAAACCTTTTGTATCTGTACGTTTCTATTATTCTCCCTACAAATTACTGTATTACTTGTACTTTCCACTAATCCCTTAACATTTTAATTTCGTTTATAACAGCATGTGGTGTATAATTCTTATTGCTTCTTAATTGCATTTTAATATTGGATTTCTAGGTACATTGGGGCGAAATTTGTTTCTTAGTATTTCATCTAATCACACTTTCTAAGTTTCATTCTCTTCTGATTCGATCCCTACTTTAGTTAAAATACTTCTAGCTCCACCCTTTTAATCTTCGTTAAAGATTATTTTCAAAACTACTAACACTTCCAATCAGTGTTGCCAATTCGAGGGATTTATCCCGATTCGAGGGATTTTTGACGTTCTCCAGGGATAAAGGGATTTTTCCTTATTTTTGCGGGATTTTTTGTAATTTGCCATTTTCTGGTTGGTTTTGTTTGATTTTGTTGACCTGATATTATATTATGAAGGCGCTCATTTTTCTAATTGTAAACGTAAAATTTTGTCAGCTATAATCGTATAATGCTGTACGATGAAATGGTTGATATACGACGGCGACGTTCGTTCAAGCCTACTGGGGTGCAGCCTGCAGGTACCTGTTCAAGTCTTTACGATAAATTGTCTTGAACTTTTTTGAAATGTATATTGTTTTCGTATCATTGTATGGTCTTCAGCAAACATCTTGAAAGTGACCAGTCGACAGATCAGAAACAGATGTTAAAACTAATAAAAATAAATGTTTGAGTTGGTGTATTGTTCCGAAATCCGAACATCTAAACATCTAAACCCCCAAGGTCTGGTTTTGTCTGCATTTTTGGGAAACAAGATAACTACATACAATAAAATTATCGGTATTATACTATCGACACGAAAAGTTGTCCATGTTTACAAAAATATTGTATATTTTTTCTTCGAATAAACGATTAAATTAACGAATTAAAAAATAATAATAGTAATAAGTTGGAGGGATTTTTAGAGAAAATATGGGANCCCCTTAATAAAAATATTTCGTATACCCACTTTAAAAAAAATAAAAATAAGGCAAGGCAAGAAGAAACTGCAAAACCAATTCTATATTTGCTAATCATTAATAAAAAATTACACTTTAAGTGTAAAACTGTTGCTATGAAAGTCCTATTTGCGTTTGCAAATTTGATTTTGCTTTTTTTTTCCAGGTCGCCTACCTCCGCATCTACTTCAAACTTCGTTATAGGTTTGCTGGCGGCTACATCGCCAACGATGACAACAGTACTCGTCGTCAATTACGTGGCCGCAAATTACAACGAACTAACATTCTACTGGTATCAATTGCTGTGATATTTTGCATAAGTTGGCTCCCCTTGAACATGTTCAACCTAATTGCAGACCTTTGGGATTCAGTGGATTTCACGTCCCAAGAAATGATGATAGTGTATGCTGTCTGTCATATGATGGGCATGTCTTCTGCCTGCTCCAACCCGGTACTTTACGGTTGGTTGAACGATAATTTTTGGAAAGAATTTAAAGACATCTTATGCTTTCCCAAAACGCGTATAGAGAAAGCAGGCGAACGTAAAACGAGTATAAAGAGAATTCAAAAGATTCCCGACAACAAGAAGTGCCTCTTAAGTGTCCCAATGGAGAACCATCAAGGTACCATCACTAATGCCACGGAAATGTCTGTGTTAAAGTGCTAGCCCTTGTGATTCGGTTAGTTCCTACTTTTGTTACCAAAAACTATATCAATTGAAGACATTTACGACAATTAATGTAAAATTGAAAGAGTTGTTGTATAAGCAAAAGACTGTTTTAGACTGACGTCTGAGGATATTCTGAATAGCTACAAGAAAACATACTTGATCTGTCTATTACCTACTTATTGAAATTCAAATACAATTCAGGAACATCATTTGTCACTTATGCTTCTTTTGAGCAGTTTTTCGTCGATTTTATTTTCAATGCATGTTATTTCATACCTTTTGATTTGTCAGAAACGACTTTTGACCATTTATAGAAAACTTTAAAATATTCACACTCAATTGCTGAAGGCTCATACTAGATATTTGAATAATTGTATTGTGACATATATTCACACTTCGATGTCTGCGAGCCCTGCTCGAAAAATATGTTTTATGTTCACGAGTTCAACGAAGAATCCTTCATTGAGTTAAAGAAGACCGAGAGGAATCGTTACGCGAAGTTATAGTAACATTATTGCGAGATTATTATCTTTCATTTTACCTAATATTATAACGGCCAAATAATGTGAACCGTATGCTATGTATAGTAAGAGACTTGTTCATGATTTTCGTTTACTTTACATGACTACACTGAAAACGAATGGGATCCGTCAACTGGGAGGAGCCTAAACAACATGGCGCTAATGAGCGTTCGTTTTTCATAGGTCATTTACCGAATCGGGTTGCTGTGTGGATTTTTTACTTTTCACAATCCCCCGCAAAAGGAATTTTATTTGAAGTCGAACGCGTTTCATATATTGGTCATGATATCAAAACTTGAAGAACAAATCGGAATGTGAACCATCAGATATGAATTTTAATATTTATCAAATCCCACAGACGGCGCGGTAAATGCCATCTGTAGTACAATGTTACTTTTAGTGGAATTCAATTGCTCAACAAGGTCCATTTAAATAGATGTATTTCTACTTGCTGAACTGAATCCACGACTTAACTCGTTGTACATGATATGCATCTTACCAGAATCGAACAAAGAAATTCGAAGAGAATTCTGTCGAAACTGTCGATCTTGTTGGATCTCATCAGCGCGTAGCAGAAAATTTCTTATCTACTGTTTACAAAGGTTATAGGTAAAAACTAATTCATATGATAGAAGCAGGCATTTGCTCACTTTTTAAATATTTGAGTTTTTCTAGACTTATAGTGGTGTTTGCACTATATCGCCCGCTGCGAAGATTGACTATGATTCATATCTTTCTGTTTGAAGTGATTGAGATACAGTTTTTCTATCTTTGTGTTATAGTTTCTTTAAGTCAGCAATAAATAATTCTTCTATATGCTTCCTTATTTGCCTTTGTCACGTTTTAATTGGAAAAAAGACACTGATGACAAAATAGTTTTGGCCAGATAGGGTTCTAAATAATTTTATTGATGATGTAAAATCAACATCAATCATCAAGGGTCAATTGAAAAGTCCCCGGCCTGACACATAGATGGCGGCACCAGAACTAAATCCATATAATTTTCAGTTAGTCCTAACCTTCAAAAGACGC